GAGGGGGACTGAAATAAGCTCCTCTTCGTGCAGGAGTGACGTTGAGAGCCCATGAAGGTGGCAACCAGGGACTCACTGTGTAGACAAGGGAGGCCACAGAACAGCTGGCTTTGTTTCTGCTTCAGGTGATCCCTTGTGTCTTCAGCCCGCCCCTCAGCTTGTGAATTGAGACCACTTAGGAGGAGCTTAATGGCTGAAGGGGGCAAAGTCAGAGCCAGAGAGTGTGGGGCTTTCTGGCAGTGCTGGATTGGTTCTGGATCCATAATAGACCATTCAGAAACCCAAAAGGCCTGAGTGGGCTGGACAACCATAACGGAACCCAAGGACTTCTGGGAAACGGCCCTAATTGTCTCAACACGCATACTAGAAGTATCATGCATGATGAAAGGAACCATTTGGCTATTGCCAGCTTGGTAAAACAATGGTGAATTTGGCATAAGCTGCCTCAGGGACTCTTCCACACGTCTTGGGAGTCCCCATCTCTGGAAATGCATCCATCTTTTTACATGGAGCTCAAGAAGCATGAGGACTTCAGATCTGAGGAATTGCAGTTGGGCTAGGTTGACAGTGTCCATATATAAAGGTGTCGGATATGTCAGTTGAGTGAGCTCTGATTTTACAGACAGCAAAGGAACATGGGAGTTCAAGGGCTGCTGGTCTTGGCTTGCCTGCACAAATCCACAGCTGGGGTTCATTATCTGTGGGTGGTTCATAGGAAACCTAAGCTCTTCAATCCTTGAAGATGACCTATTCCCTGTGTCCCTGGGCATACTTGGCAGTTGATATTCATCCCCTGTCTTTAGACGGTCAGCCCAGTAATCCCAAATGCTGATCATATCAGTTGATTGAAAAGCTATCCGGGTTAAGGATTTTTGATCTGTTAATTGTGACAGTGTGGAGTTTACAGGTACCATTGGAAGGTCCTTATGTTGCTGAGAATGCAGCTCCGGAGTCTGCTCAAAGGAGAGAGTAGACATGGACAGACTCTCTAGGGAATGGGAATATTGTGGTTCTTCCACCTCAGTGTTTTCACTTAACAGCTGCTGAACCTCCAGAGCCACCTCATTGCAGGTGTGGCAGTAGTGGTCTGCACACAGAAGCCGCCGCACGCTCCCCTCCTCAGGAAACCAGTCCTGGCTGAAAGGGAAACAGGACAACTGTTACTACCACAGTGTTATCTGCCTCCTTAAAAGAATGTTCCTGGCAGAAAAGGGGTTGACTTCATCCTTTCCCAGACCTGGAAGCCCTAGACCTCCATCTGAGAGTCGAAGTATACTTTACTTGTCTCCCTAAGAAAGTGACATTCAGCAGGTTAGTCCTGACTGAGCTGAGGTTGAGGATCAGGTAGAACCAGGTTTCAGAGAAGTCATGGGTGGTCAGGGTCCTCTTTCAGGATTAGGATTTGGGCTAAATTCTCTGTTAAACTGTTGAGAAGCTGAAGTAGGAAAGGAAACGAGGTGGATCAAAGTGTCAGGGGTTAGAAAATGTGCAAAACCTGGAACATCTTCAGGTAGAACTTGGAGTCACTCTCATTTGTGACTAAAAAAGCAGAGTTGACTATTCAGTATTTTTGAAGTGTGGAAAATGAGATTCTGTGGTGACTCTGTGTTCTCGGGGCAATGGGGTGTTCCTGTGCTGCATGTGGAATATTTTTCTATGGCTACTTTTTAAAAAATCACCTTATTGTTACTTTTTTGCATTAAAAGGTTGTGGGGTTGTTTTGTGGGGTTTTTTTCTGCTAGGGTAGCCTGTGACTCCAGCTGTTTTCTATGTTGGTGTTTATCTTGTTCTGAAAGGATATTCTGATCTACTGAGATCTGAGAATTGAGGAAACAAATTATTTAGAGATGGGACAGATTTTTGTCATTCTATTGTTATTCTTTTCTATATTTATTGTGACTAAGCTACTAAAACAAATCAGAAAGAAATAAATGTCATCATAGCTAAGAGTGGCAGGGAATTAATATCTTCTGTTCATCTTGGTCATAAACTTTCAAGAATATGTTTAAATTTTATAATATTTTTAAAGTTTTGTGGTGTGAAGAGTCTGATATTCAAAATTACTTTCCTAGCTATTGAATTTGACTTTGCTATGGATGGGTGGGTGGGTGGGTGAGAATAGGAGAACAGGGCATGTTAGCCTATCCTCCAGGTGACTGGCTAATCTCACCAGTCCACAGGGGGTTGGTTAGCCTTGCCGTTGAGTGGATAGTGCAGCAGAAAAAGAGAAACCTCACTGCTAGCAAATAAGAAGAAGCAAGAAAATGTAATGTTTTTTTCAAGACTAGAGATTTTGTGCTAGCCAGACTAGGAAGGGTCTACAGGAGCAACAGCCATAGCAGCCACAGGAGGGAACCAGAGATGCAATATGAGAGGGAACAGACCTTGGGAATGCTATGCCATTGAACCAGAGCTAAGAGCTTTGTGCCCAAGTTTTCTGGATGACTGTTAGGTAATGAGCCAATATTAGAAGGACTGAGAACTTTGTAACAACCTAAAGCCATGAGTATCAAGGATGATTCTCTGCTAGCATATTTCAGAAGCTATCCAGACTGCAGTTTGCTACAAATCTTAATTCTAGCTTTTGACTCCCCTACCCCCAAAAGAGTCCCCCCCATTCATATACATTGTATTTCACATATGAGGCAATGCATGAAACACATGGAATCTTTTAAACTTATCCTGTTCTTCAGAGCTCTTAACTGGGTACTACGACAGGGCTGTCCCAGAAACTGAAAGCTGTCTTCAGGATTAGCTCCCTGAAGACAGACCAGAAGACATAATATTTCTAAGTTTTAGCTAGATTTAGAGATATTTAGCCTTAAAGGACTGCAAAAAGAGTATATTGATATATTTATGCTAATGCATTGTGTTACCTTCAAAGCTTATTGCACTAGAACAGTCAACCCATGTAATGCTACTTATGAATTATGTACTAGTGAATTCCTGAATTCTAATACTACCATGGCTCTAGTACCAAAAGCAGAATCAGGTATTTGTTTCTGGGATTTCTGTCTGCCTTTGGTCCTGGAAACCCTATCAGCTCATGAACCAGCATTATTCCTCTCCACATCGCTGCCCCAAGCCAAGGTGGGAAGTTGTCATGGTCCAGGTTGGGAGTTGAGAGACAGAGAAGAGCTAATCACCTTTTCATGATAGAAAGCAGTTTTCTTGGGTTCTCAGCTTCTTTCCTGCATGTTCTCCTAGCTGAGAGACCAGGAGACAAAGTTAGATGTGACAGAAGAGGACCAGGGGCATCACATGGGAAGGTGAATATCATAGTAAGGCTTTTGACTCTAAATAAAAGAGAACTGAAAATCCTAAGTCTTGATCTAAGGCATGTCCTTGTAGTTAAATATTTGCGGTGGGCTGCTTCATAAGTAAATGTATTTAATCATTACAACCACTGTGAGCATGAACAAGGTTCACTAATGCTACGACCATGTTCTGGACTGACAAACTGACATTCCTGGAGCAAAAAAAAAACAAAAAACAACAACAACAAAACAAACTAATAAGAAAATTAGAGACTTTCCCTCTGTCCTTATTTTTCATTCTCAAGGAAGTAAGAAAGAGAATTTCAGAACATTCCCAAACTCTGATACTCTACCCAAGAAAATTTCTGTGAAAAGGTGTCAATCTGAAGAAACAGACCCTCTGTGCTTAGACCAATGCACTCTGGGTACCAAAGGTTAAAAAGGGCCAAGATCCATGGGAACCTCACCCACAATAAAGGGGTCAAAGGAGAGGTTAAGATTTTACCTCTTAATGCAGCATCTCTAGTCGTTCGTCTGACTCTTTGGTGTTGCTTAAAGACAAAAAAGAATGTGGTCTCTACTCTACTTTCTTTTAATAATAAAATGAGATTAAAACCCATAAGCATTTCTTAGTCCATTTATATTTTATTATGTGCTCTTATGTTCTCATTTATTTTATAAAAATCAATTTATCATGGACATACCCACACATGTGCAAAGCTTTTGTTGTTAAATACCATTGGGTATCTATCTAACTAATCATCTCTGTCTCTCACACACGCATGCACACACACACTCAGCTCACTCATTGAGTTGAAATGGACTCATAGCTGACCCTCCAAAGAATGACCAGAGGCTGGAAAACACACCGAAAAAGATTTACATCTTTCTCCTGCACAGCATATAGTGGATTCAAAACAAGGGAAGGCACCATTTTTGGGTTAGCAATGCACCTCTCTACAAACTAGCAATGCACCTCTCTACAGACTATGTCACTACCAGAACATGTTTGCCAGACCATACTTGTGTGTTTATATATATATGGAGCACTAAGACACATGGTTCAAATTCACCAGCTGCTCTATGGTAGAAGGATGGGCAATCTCCTCCTGTCTCATTTACTGCCTCTGAAAACTTATTGGAGGGTCAGTTTTGGACTGGTTCTGACTCAAAAGCACACAACAAAAGTAACTATATATCTTTTTCTCTAAAGATTGTGCCTTTTTGGCTGCTTGAATCCACCAGTAACTCTGCTGGAGAAAGATCTCCTGCATGATTTGCAGCCTTGGAAATCCAATGGTGGTCAGCTAGGAGTCCTTTTCAATTCAACAGCAATGACTTTTACTGCATGTGTGTGTGTGTATAATGTGTGTGTACATATAACATATATAAACATATATATACATACATGCATAAAACATTTGCCATTTCAAGAATTTTTAAGTGTACAATTCATAGACATAAATTATACTCTACTGTGCAATCATCTTCATGATCTATTTCCAAATCCCTAGTCTACCTTTCACCTCAACATTTCCTTTCCCTGATTCTCATTTCAAGGCTCTTCCATATGCCATGCCTTCTACCACATACCTGAGACATGGTTTACAGGAGGGTGCTTAGAATGATGTAGGAAGAGCAGAGCAGATTACAGTACATATGGTTCCAGCAGACCAAGGTTTCAGAGAACTACCAACAAGAAAAATCACCTTTCACGGAGATTTTTCTGAGATCTTTGTATTCTCTAGATGACTGGCCCAAGCCAGGTAGATCTGTTCTTCCTTTTATTTATACTGTAGGGAAGACCCGGCAAGGTCCTGAATCTCAGAAGTAAAGAGTAACTGAACATTTGATTAAAATAACAACAATGATAATGATGATGATGATGATGGTGATGATGAAGACATAAGTGGTAAGGAGAGAAAGTGAGTGTTTAAAAGCTTCTTGTCGGAGAAGTAACAGTTCAGCAGTGGTCAGGGTGTTTCCCTACCTGATGGTTGATCTTCGTAGGTGCGAACCTTAATCCATGGGGACTTATATTCCTTTGCCAAATAATGAAGCTCATGATAAAGATGAAGCCACAGATATATAAGGGATACTCAGCATCCCACAAAACACAGATAGGGCTCCACATGATCTAAACCTCATAAGTATGAGGAGATCAGTCATCTCTCTAAGTGTCTAGGGTATGAATGCTTAACGACTCCCGGTGTTAAACCCTGTCTGTGTCACAAGGGATAGAACTATAAATTCAACTGCATCACAATGCCCCTTCTGCTTCATGTGGATGTGGCATCAAAGGCTTTCATTTGTCTTAGGGAAGTTCATGTGGTGATTCAGTCTATGACAAAGTCATCTGGTTGGTTGTGAAGGTCCAGGCAGTATCTACACTCAAAACTCTCTCCATTCTCTTCACCCCACACCATCCTGATGACTCAGCTGTCTCAGTTACAAGAACAATTTCTTCACTCATCCCCAGAGTCTGAGTATTAGATACACAGAGCTCCTTAGAATACAAAGTTAGGACAAAACCAGAACAAAGGAACCTCCACCAGCCCCTTCATCTGTACTCCAAGCACACTTTAGAAGTGCACAAGAGATTAGTGGAGGGAAAGTTTGGTTCAGATTTGGAACAATAGAACTTTTATGTTCTAAGCAATGGGTGATTTTTGAAATCAGGAGCGTAGGGAGGGGTTGAGCCAAGAAAAGGGCAAGGCATGTGGTTGGAAAGATCCTATGAATATCCTGTTAGGGACAATGAGAGCTGCTGGAGTGTTAGATATTCTGTCTGAAAAGTATCACAATATGAGGTGATCACCACACATAGATGAACTGTCTCCTTTCACCAACCAGGAGAAGCCAAAAAGCCAGCTAGCAGCGATCAAACCAAGAAGAAGAACCCATAATTAACCCCTAGCCCTGGACCAATGTCCTTTTCATTCATGAGAAGATTCACTATCTACTTCTTTGACAATGTACTGTGATGAATAAATTTCTCCTCATCTTAAATAAACTTTCTATCTCTCTCTTCTTTCTTCTCCTATCTGGTGATCATGTGTCTGTGGCAAACCTCTGAGGAATATTTGCCTCTTGGAGGAATCCAATACTAAGAAATCCAGAGGCGCAATTCCTTACCACTATGCCAGCACAGCTCTTCTGCATGGTATGACAGAAGAGACTATTTGAATCTTCATCCAGTCTCTCCCAGGAGGTGTGGTGAACTCAATACATGCCCAAACCTATGCTGGACAGTGTCAAAAGTACAAAGCTATTTGAGTCATATTGATTATCTGCTGTCAAGATACTTCACATATATCAAAGGCAGAATCAGTTCACATGAAGCAATCTTGAACAATTTGAAACAAATAATGTTATTTTTTTGCTGTTGAGTGCTGATGAGGAAGCCATAACTCATTGTGATCCTCTTGTTGCTGTTGTTATGTGCCGTCAAGTTGCTTACGACTCATAACAACCCTATATACAAGAGCCCTAAATGCTGCTCTATCCTGTGCGAACCTCACCGTCTCAAACACACTCACTCCCACCACCCCAATCACAGAATCAATCCATCTCATTGAGGATCTTCCTCTACTGCACTGTCCCTCCACTCTCCCAAACATGATGTCCCTCTCCAAGGATCAGTCCGTCCTTGCAACATGCCCAAAGTACACCAGACAAAGCTTCAGAATCCTTGACTCTAAGGAGCAGTCTGGCTTCACTGTCTCCAGGACAAAACTCTTTGTTCACCTAGCAATCCGTGGTATATTCAACACTCTTCTCCAGCACCACAGCTCAAAGGATAAATTATCTTCCTATCATCCCTAGTCACTGTCCAACTCTCTGATGCATAACAAGTAATTGCAAAGACCATGGCATGTATCAGGCACACCTTAGTCTCCAGAGTGACACCATTGCTCTTCAGTACCTTGG